CTGACTACTCAACAACAAAAGGACAAAGAACCCACTTTAAAAACTGGCAAAAGATTTGAGTAGATATTTCTCCAAAGAAGATAACAAACAGTTAATCATTAGTCTATTAGGAAAATGCAAATCAAAACTTCACACGCATTAGAATGGCTAAAATTTAAAAAGACAGATAACAGCAAGTGTTGGTAAGGATGTGTAGAAACTGGAACACACACATTGCTGGCGGGAAGCGAACATGGTTACAGTTATTATGGAAAACAGTTTGGCAGTTTCTGAAGTTACACATCTAGTAACTATATGACCCAGAAATGACACTTGTAGGTATACACCCAAAAGAAATAAAATATATGCCCACAAAAAAACTTGTACCTGATGCTCACAGCATCATTGCTTACAGCAGACAGAAAGTAGAAACAACCCCAATTTTGATCAGTTAATGAATGGAGAAATCAAACGTGGTTTATCCATACAACGGACTACCACTCGACAATAAAAAAGAATGAAGCACTGATTCACGCTACAACATGTGCGAACCTCCAGACATGCTAACTAAAGTGCGCCAGTCACAAAAGAACACATGTGGTATGTTTTCGTTTAGATGGATTTAGGCAAATCCATAGACAAAGTGGATTAGTGGCTCCTACAGAGCTGGAGGGAGCTGGGAGTGGGACTAAGGTACTGGGGTTTCTTTCCGGGAAGACGACATGTCCAGGATTTAGGTAGTGGTAACAGTTGTACAACTTTATGAATACACTAAAAATGACTGTATGCATTAAAAGGGTGAATTGTATGGTCTGTGATTATATCTCAATAACGGTGTTATTTAAAAATATATATATATATATATATATATATGGGACACATAGCCAGTCCCATGGGAGTTAGCGCCAGACGGTGTCTTCAGCTAAAGCTACAGAGAAATGCTCTGTTTTCCACCTAAGCTTAGAGGATGTGAGTCTGGAGTCGCTCAGAGTCCTGCTTCCTGCTACAAGGAGAGAGCTCATTGGCTAAGTGAGAAGGGTGGGCCACGGCAGAGGAGAAGGAGAAAACGAAATGGCACCGATGGGGCCATTTGGTCCATGGGGCCAGCTCCTCCCGCTCCGTCCTGGAAACGTGAACCAGGAAATCATCTCCTTCTGGCTTAGGCTACGTCTAGTTGAATTTCTATCATTTGAGATGGAAGACAGTAAATAAAATGAAATCCCTGTACCGCTCCTCCTCTGAGTTCAGAATTCCTGTTCAGTTATTCTTGCTCAGTGACTCCTTTTGGACCATTTTGGGTCTCTTGGCTGAAACTCTAGCCAAACCTCATCCCATTCACTCTGAGTCAAAAGGATTTGCCTCAGATCCATTCATCAACCCACAGACCTTAGCGTTGCCCTCGCCGTGGTGACTCGCCATCGCGTGGTTGACTGACATGTTGCATGGAAACCTTTTATCCTCTACATACTTCTTCAAAATTAAAAAAATAATAATAATAACTGGGGTGCGGCAGGGAAGGGTATAGCTCAGTGGCAGAGCTCATGCTCAGCATGCATGAGGTCCTAGGTTCAATCCCCAGCACCTCCTCTAAGAATAAATAAATTAATAAACCTCATTACCTCACCCCCCCAAAATTGTTTTTAAATAATAAAAATGACCCATAATTTAAACATTTATTTGATTAAGAGAGAATATTAGCAAATTTAGAAATTTATTTTCTCATATCTCTTTACAAAGCTTTTATACTTACTAAAATCATGGAGTGGAAACCCAATTTTTTTTCTAATCTGACAAGTTCTTTCTTCTTTTTTTTAGGGAGGGAAGGTAATTAGGTTTACTCATTCATTTATTCATGGAGCGGGTACTGGGATGGAACCCAGGATCTCCTGCATGCTAAGCGCTGCTCTACCACTTGAGCTGTACCCTCCCCACCCCCCAATTTCTTATATTACAGACACTTCCTCTCATTGTATCCTTACCAGATATTTTCCAGTTGAGCTAAGTCCTATTTCATCATAATTGGGGTCTTATTCTCCATGGCTTTGCTTCTATCTTTCTCTACATTATATTCCTTACTCTGGAAATTCTTTTACTATCTACATATGTTTTTCAAGTGGTCTTTATTTTCATTATTCCGGAATTTTTTTTCCAGTTTTATTTGTTTAATACTCTACTTCCAACAATGATTTATTTGTTCCCTGGCTAAATTCATCCCAGTCAATTGTCTTTCATATTTGTAATATCACCATTTATTTCACTGAAAATGGTTAACAGCTGTTTTCTAGTTTTCATTTTTTTCTGTTTCATGTAAGAAGTCTATTTTAGAGTTTCCAGAAATTACTTTAAATCTCCATCTGCTTTCTTCTCGTTCTTTTGAATTGCAGAGTTCTTTCATTAAAAAAATATTTTTTCTTTGCCCATCATTTTTTTAGGATCACCTAATCATTGAGGAAAAGGAGCCTGGGAGTTTATTTTAAAATCTTGTTTGTTTCAGGGGCTAACTGAACTTAACAGCAGAGTCTTCTTACAAAACTTGGGATTGGAAGAAAAGTGAGTGGTCTTCACTCTGCAATTAGAAAGTTGCAACAGATCTGTGGTTTGTGCAAACATTCAGAATCAACTTCCCAAATCAGAGATGGAAGAGAGGTTAAATTAAGGGCCACGTAGTTTAAATTGATTTCAATTGTGTTGAAGGTCACAGAAGAACTGGAATCCGTCTCTCTCAGCACTCACCGCTAACTTCTAGGTCTAGTTAGCGCCCTCCCTCACCTGTCTGCCAGCCTCCGAGGGCCCCCATCTGTTCTTGCCTGGTTCCAGTCTGTTCTCCATCTTTTCTGTCACTTCCCTACTTATCAGCCCTTCAGTAGCCCCACTGCCATGAGAATCAAGCCCAGGATCCTTGTACAAGACCCATGAGGTCCATCTTGCCCAGGCTGTCTCCTCTCCAGCCCCACCCCCACGCCTCTCTCGCCATGTTTGCTCTTCCATTTCAACCCATCAGCTTAGCTTTAGTCACACTTCAGGGAACTCCGTCATGCTCTCCCCATGCTAGGAATCTTTTCCTCCCTCCCCTCAACACCCTGTCCCCTTCGTCCTGATGGCACCCTCCTTCCAGTCCCCAGGGAAGGTGCGCTCTGACCCCAAGTGCTGTTCCATCCTCTCACCACGAGCTCCCGCATGCTTGCCTGGCAGTCAGGGTGACCCGTGCTTCATGGGCACCCCCAGACTCAACTGCCAACTCCACAGGGCCGAGCTGAGCTCGCCCTCCTCCTCACTGTCCCCTAGATTTCCCCACATAAACCTCAAAATCGGTACCAACAGAAAGCTTGTGGAATGATGCTTGACCTTGTCCCTTCTGGGTTAGCTTGGCCAAGCATGCACCCATGTGTCAGCTGCCCGGATACTTCACTGGAGCCGAACAAGGAGGCCCTGGGCACCTGCTCTAAGACCAAGAAGACAGGGCCCTCAGGAAATCACCCAGAAATCACCTGGGGATTGACCCGCAAAAGTTGCCATTATGGACAAGATCAATTAGGTTCTGCTCAACCCAACATTTTGCAGAGTTCACCTCTCCTTCCAACAACAAAACCATTCCTGTAACAGGAGACCCTCAGCCACCAGGGTCACCCCTTCCTAATTCTAAAATGATCTTCCATGGGGGAGAACATAGCTCAGTGATAAAAGGCATGCCTAGCATGCACAAGGTCCTGGGTTCAATCCCCAGTGCCTCTGTTTAAAATTAATAAATAAATAAACCAAAAATTACCTTTCCTGCATCAAAAATAAAATAATAAATAAAATAAAATAAAATAAAATGGACTTCTGTACAAAGTGTGTACAACACAGGTATGTTAATAATAGAGGAACATTACTTTTATGTCTAATTCTTGAAGTGGAAATTGTATACTCTTTTCATGTAATTTTCACTAGAGATTTAAATCTTGAGAAACTAAATAAAAATATGAGTAGGAAAAGTTGTTGGGTAGATTCAGCTATTTGATGGCAGAAATAATTTTTAAATAGCAGTCAAGGATATTATCCCATTATGACTAAACAAAGAATGTGATAGTTGTGTTTTTATCCCAAGTTAGAGTCAAGAGGCTTCCTCCTTGACATTTCCTGAGCATCTGTTATGTACCAGGTGCTGGACCAGATCTTTCACATCCGTTAACTTACTTGGTTTTCGGGACAGCCTCTCGGTGGTCTTTATTACATCCCCGTGATCTGGCGTGTAACTGGTGAAGAAGCTGCAGATCACGGAGATGAGATATCCTGACCTAGACTGCAGAGCTGGTAAGTAGTTTTGAACACTAGTGCAGCAAAAATGCCCCAGTGGTTTGTTCCACTAAACCACAGAGGCAGTGAACTGCAAAATTAGAGCTAAAGCTTTGAAGATTTGCTAATTATTACTTTAAGCTCATTTCCCAAATCTCAGTGCAAAAGAGAGAGAGAGCGGAGAGAGAGCGAGAGAAGGGGAGATTGGGAAGCAGTAAGGGATACTGAAAATGAGCTTGCAGGTGTAAAGGGGAGAACCCAGGGGAGGATGCAGAGCTGTGCCGGCCCCGCCCAGGTGATGCTCCAGCTACTCTGTCAACCCAGTTTGCTGGTCACAGACCCACACGGACCCTAACGGGCCCTGCTCCGGAGGACGCCAGGCCCCTGCTCATACCTCTTCGCTGCTGTTAGACTCGGAGCTGGAGGACCAGTGGCAGCGGACCCACGCGTCCTGCACCTGCTCGGCAGACACCCGCACGGTGCTTCTGCAGACGGCCACCGGCTGGAAAAGGGGAACAATGAGCTCTGTGCCCAGCAGCTGGCAGAGACGCTTAGGACCCTCCCCAAGAGATCAGGCAACCCCGTAGGGCTTGACACAATGGTGCGGACAGAAGGGGAAAATCCACAGAGACATTTCATCTTTTCAAAATGAACATTTCTCAAGGCCTAAGCAGAAACAAATGGTAGAAGATGTCACTATCTCTTAGTCGTTGGCTGCAGTACAAGTCCCCGGGGGAGGCACATGCGGCCTTCCTGAGCACCGAGCCGGCCGCCTCAAACGGCTTCCCGTTTGCACAGAAGGAGGTACGAAGATCTCCACTGCTCTCTCCTGTCCCTTGGCCTCAGATTTCCTTAGAAACAGATGCCAGTGACACTTGGGATCTTTGTAAAACAGAACCACAGAGAAAAGTCTCATGAAACAACCAAACAAAAGATGCCCTTTTCAGAATTGGCATCATTGTGAAGTGACCCAGACATCAACCTGATAAAGTAATGAAACCCTGAGAACGCATACAGCTAAACGTGAATGTCGAGAACAAATCTGGGGGGGGGGGTGCTGGCCTGCGTGGTCAGGGTCCTGCCCCTGAGTTAACCAAGCACAGGGCCGGGGGGCTGGTCACTGGGGATACAGAATGGACCTTGCCGTTGCCCTGACCCCCGTGCGGCCCAAGCTGGTGAGGGAGATGGGTTTTATACAACAGTCAACTGTAAAGCAATGCAACTTTCAGGCTGGCGTTTTAAATTCACTCAAAATAGAATTTGAAATGTCTCTGGGGCTTTTCTTTGGTATTGGCCTCTTCGCAGTCACTTTGCCTGGAACCATCATTATCCCCATTTTAAAGAGCAGAAAAGTGAGGCAACAGGAGTTAAAGAATTCTCCAGGATTATCCAGGACTATGGACTCCTGAGCTGGAGTCCTCCACCACCGAGCCACACTGCCCCCACCCGGGGAACAGCGTGGACACAGTGAGTGGTGCCCCCAAGGGTGGCCGGACGCCAGGCAGCGGCCAAGCCCTCGGTGTGACTTTGAATCAACTCCAGTGCGTGGAAGAAGACAAGGCGCTCCCTTGCGTTGGCTTCTGGGCTGGTTGCCCTTCCCCCCACACTCACCACATAGTAGCCCCTTTGGAAGTCACAGGCGGCAGGATCATCTCCAGAATCCCGCCTGCACGTCGTCTCTCGAATGCCAAACTCTATGTCCATGCTCAGGCTGTCCTCATCCAGGACGTTGACCTTCACAAAAACAAAGCATCAGTTGGCCATAGATGGGTTTCTGAAGGTCACATGCTAGAAAGGTTTCTCCCTGCACAAGGAGGAAAAGACCCTCCACCACGGACGGTCTAAATGTCACAGCAATCACCCTGCTCCACGATCTAATTCTGAGGACCAGAGGACAGAGCGCTTTACCAAAAGCACACAATACTTATTGAGATACTGGAACCAGAGCTTAGCTGTCCTAACTCCAAGCTAAGCGTTATAACTTACATCTACAAAGAATCCTCATTATTTACGAATTTGCCTGCTTGCTAAAATGTATTTGTAACCCCTGATCGGTACTGGGGTCCTTTCACAGTCATCCATGGACACACACAAGGCAGAAGAAAGACTCTAGTCCCCGACGGGTCAGAGAAGGTGACGTTCCGCCTCCTTGTCTCGGCTCCCTGACTGTACACTGTCACTTTCATGATCTATTTTGTGCCGCATTTTTCTCATTTTTATGCTTTTTCTTGGTGATTTTGCTTTTTAAAATGGCCCCCAAGCCAAGTGCTGAGTCCCGTCTGGGGTCCTGAGCACAGGAAGACAGCGACGTGCCTTACGGAGAAAGCACAAGTGTTAATAAGCTTGGGTCAGGCATGAGTTACAGAACTGTTACAGTGAGTTCAGTATTAACGAACCAAGGTATATATTAAATAAGTCTTTAAACAGAAACACAAGTAAAACAAGATCATATATTGATCAGGTAACAGAAACACTGTGCCCAGAGGCTCCCAGGAACCTGACTCTGTTTTCCCCCAGTAGCAACAGCTCAGGACGCACTAACCCAGTGGTCACAGCATCTCTCTGGGATGTAACTACAGCAAATAACAAGAACCGACTGTATGTGTTTCAAGTGTCATTTTCCTGAAAGAATGTGCCATACTTTGTTAATAATTCCTGAAATAAGTAAGCGGCAAGGACTTCTGTGCTGTACAGTGTTGTCCGGCCTCGCTTCCTGCTTGATCAGTTGCAGACACAGTTTTCCACTCCTTTCCACCAAGGGTGGACACCGGGGGGACCGTCCCAACTTCCCAGTGACTCCATGCTGTTCTGATGACACAGAAGCCTCGTGGCTTCTGAAGTGCCCGCTGTGTGTCCAGCACCAGAGGCAGAGCAGAGAGGACTCCACAGAGCTTAGAGTCCGGTGGGGGCACCACATGATATACATGTTAAAGAAAATTGCGATCAGGACATGGCAGATGACTGTGGTGCGATGAGGGAAAAACACGTGGTGATGGGGATGGGAAGCAGATCCTTTAGAAGAGGTGCCAGAGAAATCCTCCCAGGGAAGGCATGTTTAAGCTGAGACTTCAAGGATGGGAAGTGAGGAAAAAGCAGAGCCAATGTCCTGGGGCTGAACAAGCCCAGCTGTTGTGTGGCACAAAATGAGCAAAAGGAAAACTGCATCCCCGACGCAGGAGAGCTGGGGTGGGCCAGACGGCTTATGGTCGTGTAGCCCATTGCGAGGTGTTTCGATTTCATTTTCGTCGCATGGAGAGGGTCTCAGAGGGTTTTAAGAGATAAGAGCTGAGTCACTGCAGCTGCAGCAGGAACAGGATGGCAGCAGGGAGCCAGGTGGGAACCCCTGCCCGTCTACACCCCAGGCTCCAAACATCCCATGGGCCAATTTGAGTCGGTCACCCATTCACCTGCTCCCCAGAGAACACTGTGAGAGCACAGACCACTCACAGGGAGGGGATAACGGGCACGCACAGACATTCTGCTTTGGAGAGAAGTGACAAGCTCCAGGCTGGGGGTGGGGGGCCTCCCTCCGACACAGGATGAGGAGCGCTGATACGGCAAGGCTTTCTGAAAGCCAGTGGGACTTACAGCTCAGCCTTGCCTTGTTTGTGACCTTGTTTATCTATAATATTTAAATATTAGATATTACATCTCAATCTCATACAAAATTAAAACCTCTTCTGTCAGCCGGAGCACATCGTACAGGCTCTCCCCCGCCCCCACCCCCAATCATGCTTCCACCATTTCCCTTAAAGCAATCTGATGAAAGCAAACTGGCCACACCGCGGCTCAGTTAAAAAGATGAAAATGTGGCAGTTTTGAGTACTGATAATTTTATTGAACTATGAGATGATTTCATAACCATTTTTGCATCTTTAAGTACTTTTAAGCACGCTTTCCAGAATATGGAAAAATGCCTAATAGCTTTTCTTTGTTTTTCATTTCAATTTACTTCCAGGCAGTGAATTTCTGCTCTATGTTGTTTGAAAGAGACAGGACAACTCAGGTACTCAACAGTAAGGAATCAACTGGCGAAAAATCCCAAACCAGCGTTATTGCTGAAATAAATCGTGGTATTTTATAACCACTGTTACCGTACGATCCTATTTTTCTTAAATAATATATTTTATAACTGCAGATGAAGAGAAAAAGATCCAAAAAGATATCCTGCCACACGTTCACAGGGAGTGTCTCAGAGGACTGGGTGATGGATGTTACTTTTGGTTTCCTCTTTCTTGTTGTATCTTGTAGCTCTTTATAATGAGTATGTTTCTAAAGAAATAGAAATATACAAGCAATAAAAGACCCATAATAATCCCTTTTGGGAATTATGTTTAATTTTATAGGTGACTTAGCTGGGCCACAGTGTCCAGATACTTGCTCAAACATTAATCTGGATGTTTCTGTGAAGGTGTTTTGGGATGAGATTAAAGTGGTAGACTTTGAGCAAAGCAGATTATCCTCCTTCCTGTGGGTGGGCCTCATCTAATCAGTTGAAGGCCTGAATAGAACAAAGACTGACCTTTTCCCAAGCAGAAAGGAATTCGGCCAGCAGAAGGCCCTCAGGCTTGAACTGCAATGTCGCTTCTTCCCTGGATCTCCAGCCTCACCCACCCTAAAGATTTTGGCTTTACCAAGCCTCCATAATGGAGTGAGCCAGTTCTTAAAAATAAATCTCTCTCAGTCTCTCTCTCTCTCTCTGTCTTATTTTCTGTGGTGATGCCTAACTAACACCATGATCATTTGGGTTTTTCAAACTAAGTCCTGATGATTGGACCAAAAGTAAAGATCAAGTGCAGCTGGCTAGAAGAATTTAGAAAGCCAAAAAGCGAAAAATGCCAAGAAGGGTAAAAATGGACAGAAATGGGCATGGATCCATAAAAGATCCCACAGCCCCTGTGGCTTTGCTTCCAAATGTCCCAGAATCCACACACTCGCCATCCTCCCTGCACCCACTTGGGGCTCTTCTGCCACCGGCACGGCTGCCTCCCTGGCCCCCCACTCTCCACGGCAGCTGGGGAGATCTCAGAAGGCCTTCTTGCACTTTCTCTGTTCAAAGCCCTCCCGTCCCCCAGGTAGGGGATCTTCCCTTTAATGAGGCCGGAAGTTCTCATCACTGTGTGAGTCTTAGCTCAAATATGGCGCCTCCAGAAAGCCCTCCACCCCACCAGAGGGCTGCCCCAGCCCCAGCCCAGGCTCATCCATCCGCCACCCTGTTCTTTCTTCTCCACAGGACTCCCCACTCTCTGAAACTAACTTCACTTATTTATAGAATTTGCACCCCCTTCTCCCTTCTTCCCCCTCCCTCCCTCCCTGCTCTCTTCCTCTCTCTCCCCAGTGGAATCTGAGCACCACGGAAGCACAGCCTTGTCCAGCCTCCTCTCTCCTCGTCCCCAGCCCAGGGCCTGTGTCCACCTTTCCTTCCTGTGCTTGTGTCCAGAGGGGACAGCCTGAGTGAGCCGAGTGTTGATGTCGGAGCAAGGAAACCATCGTGGCGGAAGTCACGTGGCCCCATGTTTTCCTATCCTTCTTTAAACTTGGAGTCCAAGAGGTAAGTAATTTAAAATCAATTTCAAGAGTATTTGATCCAGGTCCGCTGCTAAAACCCAATGCACGTTAGACTGACCAGGAAGCATTTAAGAATATGAACCCTGCCCTCTGAGACTGAGATTTAATTGGGCACCATCTCTCCTGGACCTCAGGGAAATTTCTGTCTTCCAGATAATGCT